TTTGTCACAGCCCCTCGTTTGTTGTCCTCTTCTCCCTCTCTGCCTACGGTTTACCGGGCAGTTCTATTTGACGATATATATATATATATATATTTGACGATATATATATATATATTTCTGTTTGTGACGATATATATATATATATGTTTTTTTCGTTTTTTTTCGTCGGTACGGCGTTTCTGTGCCTGCCAAAAGCACAGCCCAAATGCTGACTCGTTTTTGTTTTTCAGTGTTGTTTGGCCGGCGGGTGGAGAAGTGGGGTATAAATGGGGATTAATGGGGTTTAGCGGGGTTCAAAGAGGTTTAAACGTGTGTGCCTTAGTTTGACGTTTTTTACTATTTTGAAAATTTCTGTTTATTTTTTATTAATCTTGGATTCAATAAAGAATTATGAGGTGACCCCCAGCCAAAAGTTGTTTGCATTGCAATTCTACCCAACGTATTGTTTTCGTTTTTTTCTTTTTTCTTTTTTCTTTTTCTTTTCAATATTGCGCGGAGGCTGCCCAGGACTGGGACCCTTGCCTGACCGAGCATTCAGGGCAGCCAGAGGCTGCAGCCCGTGTGCCAGGGAAGGTATCGTAGCCCTTTTCTTCTTTCTTTTTATTTTTTCACGGTCTTGATAACTCAATATTGAAACCCACTGAACAAAAATTATAAACCAAATTGAACAAATTCATTAACAAAATTTTATTATTTTTAATTTTTATATAATAAAAGGAAAAAATTACGAAAAATTCATGTTATCAAACTCATGAACAGCGGAGCTTTATATATTCTAAGGCATTTTCAAAACTCAAATGTGCATTTAAAAAAGTATATTTTTATTTATTAATTTTATTTTCTGTTGGTGTTGCAGCTTATGACTGTATTATCAGTATTTTTAGGCTGGGCAGCGCCATCACTGGTAAGCTCTGCATTTTGATTGCAACCCCCCCCCCCCCCCCCCCCCCCCCCCCCCCAAAAAAAAAAAGAAACCCTCCCCTCCCTTCCTCACTAGCTTTCCTCACCGCTCCCGTCCCCCCCATCCCCTTTTTTTTTCTCCCCATTATCCCACCCCTTCCCCGGGGCCTCTCCCCCTTTTCATAACCTCCTGGGCAAAGGCAAGGAATATTGCCTGAGACCGAATTTTCCGACTCAACGGATCCGGATTCGAACTCATGACCTCTCAAACTCATGGTCTAAAGGGAAAAAAACAAAAACAAAACCCAGCTGTGCTTGTCTACCATTCACGCACATGGGTTGGCCTGAATTGACGGAAGCTGAATGGTGTCTTAAGAGTATGCTCACACTAGACTCTCAAAATCAAAGAATAGCAAAAAATCAGCAGCCAGATCGAGTTCTTCGATTAGGACTGGATCTGGCCGTTGATTTTGCGATTCTGCGATTTCGAGTGCCTGGTGCGAGGTCTCTGCCCTTATTGCTTCAATCAGTGTGCTTTTCTCACGAGTGTGTAGTGAATGTATGTGATTGGTATGTCGGATATAAACATGGGTTGGATATCTCAATATCTCAATACTGGCTTATTATATTATATGTGAAAGTAAAGGGCAAAGGAAAGTCTAAGTTCAGATGGGGCAAATTGCAGTCCTACAGAATTTAGGAGCCTCGGCACAAATCATTGTGATCGGAAGGGCCAAAAATCGGATGGACGAGCTTTTTTTTTTTTTTTTTTTTTTTTTTTTTTTTTCTGGGCCCCTTTCAGCCTAAGCAGGCTGCCATATGTCTAGAATGAGTAATAAGGTGGAGCAATAATTGTACTAGCTTCAGGGCTTTGGCCTTTCTCTTCTTTTTTTTTT